CTATCTAGGTAGCTATCTATGCTCATTATGTATCTCTCTATCTTTAACCTGTCTCTGTCTATCGGTTCATATCTATCTATGTCAGACTGTTCATATCTATCTATCTATCTATCTATCTATCTATCTATCTATCTATCTCTATCTATCTCATTCTTTTCACATCTATCTATCTATCTATCTATCTATCTATCTATCTCATTCTGTTCACATCTATCTATCTATCTATCTATCTATCTATCTATCTATCAATCTATCTATCTAAGTCATTGACATCATTTTCCCACTTTAGTATGCATGCATTAGTAGTGTCAAATGATCACCTAACTACCGAATTCTGCTCACATTCTCTTATCTCTCTAAAAAGCATTGATTCTTCCGCATTAGTTCATGCGATACCTTTACGCGTACCCGGGATTGAGTTGAAAAAATCACTTTCTAATATGAGGGTTAATTTTAACAATTATTTCAGTGGTCTATACTCTCATAACAATATCTGTAAATGTTTACAATGTATCGTGCGTGTACCCATATTAACATATGTAATATACTTTACATTGTATACTATACACATTATATTGTGTTATGTACGCATTTTATTGTCTTGTGTATATCTACATTATAGCTTTCTATATTTTGTTTTGTTATTTTCATTGTTTTTTATTCTTTCCCATCGTAGTGTTATCTTTTTTTTCTGCTGTTGATTATATATTGCTGTTCGGTGACATTAATCAGATAAAAACGTTTATTCCAGCTACCAAGTTTTTATAATTCATCTTAGTTAAAATTGACTTAAATTATAGTAGATATGAGTGAAGACCATGTCATTGAATCATCTTTAGTGTAAAAGATGAACATATATAATCAATATTGTTCTTATCTGAAAATTCAGGTCTGTTCAAATCGGTCCATGTATCTATTTGCCGATAGGTTTTACTACATATAGGGGATGTATTGTCGCCCGTTTATCCTATAACTATTCAAAAAGGCAATTAATTACAACCTACTGACACCTTTATAATGAAGTTTATTTCTAAGCTTAGTCTTGTAGAAGACCTTTAATAAAAAGCAAGCAGTGAACCTCGAACTTACAGTACAGTTCTAATGAACGGTTAGAAAAGAGTAGTATGCAATGTACACCAGAAATGCAAAAAGACTGAATCTAATATCAATAAGGAGGATTTATTCTAAAAAGAGTTGATCTGTGGTGACCTCAGTTATGTAGTGAGATCACCCTAAGAGATACAAAAGTAGGATTTGCGGAGTTGAGCTGGAAGATGATCTCATAGACACCAAGTCCAGAATCGGACCTCAATGCTTGCCAGTGGCAGTTCCTAACATGCAAACAGGTGATCGAACCAGCTGAGATTATGATGTGCACTCGTGGAACAACCAGGTTATATAAGTGCTCAGTCCGAGAAGGAAAAGACAGTCTCTTATATCCTCGCGAGCAGAGAAGAAAGCCCCCGAAGTCATGCAATCCCAGAAGTGGGTAAATAATAGTTTTATGTATGAAAGATTTAGTTTCGTATTTTTATTAGTCTTTATAAAGATAACGTTAGCTTGCAATCATTAAGCCAAGTTCATAATTACCTCATGTGATTTATTGGTTTTATTTTCTAAGTGTGTGTGGGGGGTCATCATGATTATTCTTGTTCAGCGTAAAATGGAAGGACTCATTTTCAAAATCTTCAACTGAACTCTCCTCTACCGCTGCCATTGGTAAATCTCATGTCATGAATGTTTTGACCCCACGAAAGCCACATTGTCCCTTCAGATCTCATGACATTGGCATAGCGTCGGAACATCCTCCAGCGCCAGATAAATCTGCTGGGGCTTTTGACGTACGACGTCCTGTCAGCGTCTGCGTGGTTTCCTACGAAGTCGTCTCCAGTTCGCATATGCCAGGTCGAACTGGTAGATGATTCTGGTAGGGTAGCAATCAAGTTGTCGCCGTACGTGAGTGAACACGGCGCTGAGCGATGTTGCAGGGGATGACCGGCTCGTTGGTATTCTGGCGGACCTCCACATTGGACACAAGATCGAACCAGCGCACTCTGATGTCGATGATCATGAAGGCACAGCACTCAATGCCACGCACCCGAAACGTATACGTTAATATCCCCACCAGGGTTTTCAAATGGAAATTGTTAATATAAAATATCCTTTCATATAACAGGGTGGAGTAACGTGAACTGAGGTTAAAAAATCCTTCGAAGAAACCAAGACGTTGGTATAGAACAACGCAAGGCTGCTGCTAAATCTCATACCATGAAAACGTTGAGCTCAGGAGAGCCACCTTATCCTTCCAGTAATCAGGGCCTTGGTAGAGAGTCGGAACATCCTCTGGCGTCAGTTTAATGTGCTCGAGGTCCTGGCGAATGACGTCTTCCCAGCGGCTGCGTGCTCTGCCGTGAGGTTGTCTCCTGTATACAGATGGCGGATCGAACTTGTAGATTATCCTAGTGGATGGTTATCAGGTTGTCGCAGGATGTGACTGAGCAAGGGAACACGGCGCTGAACTATAGTGCAGATCATGTTTGGCTGGCCGGTCCTCCAATGGAACTTCTCGTTGGACATCACATCGGACCAGTATACTCCTCGATGGTTCTGATGGCGCAGGACACGAAGCCATAGACACCGGTAGCAAGGAACTTGTTTAGTGATCACTTCTCGGCACTATATAATAGCACAGAGTGGGGAGGGCCGTTGTAAACTCGTAGAATTCTCCTCGTATAATAAAAAAAAATTTTTTTAGATAATCGTGATGTTGGTTGCCTAATTGATATTTTTTTCTTGGTAAAAGTTAAAAAATCGATGCGGCCTTTATTCTACTATGCATGCTAGTCGCACTCCCGCCTTGCTTGGGGCGAATTGCTTAAAAAATGGCAAAAAAGTAGTTATATCAAATAAAGAATATTAAACATGTATAGGAAAGAAGTATATATATATATATATATATATATATATATATATATATATATATATCCAAGTATATTATTGGTGTATACGGAATAAATTCCAATAACATAAAATTACAATTCTTAAAAGAGTGCTCAATACAGAGTAGAGCGAATATAATTATTTATTTAAAAATGATAACATAAATATGTTATAAAATCACTACATATTTATGTTATAATTTTTAAATAAATAATTATATATATAAATATATATATATTTATATATATGTATATATCATGATATAGGAAAGTATATATACATATATATATATATATATATAGGTAAATAATATGATATAGGAAAGAATATATATATGAGCGTGTGCGTGCGTGTGTGTTTGTTTTTGAGGACACTTCTTTTAATAGCACTAACTTTTTCTAACTTGTTCTGATAATCATTTCATTTAAGATAAATGATGACAAACAGTTGCAACATTTTGGTCTTTATTCACAAACATTGAAATTAACGTCTAATTGTTCTGTTGAGGTCTGAAGAGATGAAAATTCGAAGGAGTCAAGTCAGGAAAATACAGGGAGTACTGGACGGTTTAAACTCATTAAGCTTCTCTAAGGTCAGTTCTACAACATGCTGTCTTGCGTTGTCCTGGTGGAAAATAACGCCTTTTCGATTTGCCAATCCAAGTCTCTTCAAACGGCGAAAGATATCGATTTTCAAAGTATTAGATATCTCTTCGTTGGAAATATTCAGTTTATTTCTCCAACGATGGCAAGCAGAACGTATTTATCGATGTCGGAAGGTCACACGGAGCGATTAGGTTAAAATCACCCTGATGGAATCTGCCAAACCACTTTTTGATTGCACGAAGAGCTGGAGCACAATCGAAATAAATGTTCTGAATGTTTTTTTCCCACAGTTCCGACGCTTACTCCTTTCCGAAATCCATGATATTGCGAAAGTTCCCTTTTTCTGCATAAGGCATTCGTTTCTGTACAGAATCTCAAGATTCAACAAAATCTGACTCGCAACTGAACGGTGAAAAGTTTCAATCTAGAAAACACACGAGATTGGCACCAAAGCAAATGCCTATTGCGGTCATTATATATAAAAATAGAAAATCGGGCACGGACTTTTGCAATGATCTTATAGTAATAGCCTTAACTTAGAGAAAGCCGTTGACATGTTTGCAATTATCTGATTTTACGATTTAAGTTTAACGACGGCCATATATTTACCATGTTCTTGGTGTAATTTTTTTTCAAATCAAATATGTAGATACAAATCAGAGCTTTAACTGAACGCAGCTTTTTCCTCTCAGCGTATTTAATTCGTTAATATCTAAGCTCAACATATACGAAGCTGCATATCGATAGTTCCCTAGCTACAGTGCACTTTAAACCATGTCGACGTGTAATCACGACCGTCGTGAGATGACTACATATGTGTGAATCTACCTGCCCTCATATATCTTTACAAGAGTCAGATGAGACCATATGGATTGAAGCTGTTATGTGACAAGATCGTGAAGACAACCAACCAACAAGATCGTGAAGACCCTTTTGAGATCTGTCAAGGTTAGAAAGAGAGGGTTAGGTAGGTCCTTCCCAGATATAACTATGACGGTGTTCAGGGCCACGGCCTGGTCACCGCACCAAATATGACGGTGTACCGGGTACGGTCTGCTTCAGTCACCAGGTATGGCGGTAGTCAGGATCTATCGCGGTCTCAGAGAACAGACCGCCAGCCACTCGTCGGTCGTTAATCAAAATGAAATAAAACCTGTGATTATTTTAAATCCTCCTCGTTGTCGGAATAAATTTCCATTTTTTTCTCTTATTATATTATTTTTACGGTTTATCAACCTTTGCAGATTATTTTAAGCCAGAAAATATTTTTATATCGTAAGAAGTTTTTTGAGATAATATCGACTTACTGATACAAATTCTACTAATTAACCCACAGTTGGGGAGAGAAGAAGTCGAGTCATACCTTTTGTAATGGTATTTGTGCGTAAGTGAATATAACAAACTCGGCACTGATTTTCTGATTCAGTTATCCATTACATTATACGCAGATCCAAGCTTACAGCACCTGGCATTCCCAAGCGGTTACCCATCTAAGCACTGATCAGGCTTGACGTTGCTTAACTTCGGTGATCGTAGGAGAACCGGTGTTTCACCGTGATATGGCCTTTTCAAATTGTTTTTTTATATTTCCTGACATTCAAAAACATAGAAAGAACAGAAAAGAGAGTGATGTTAGATAACGCATCTCCTCCAACTCTGTTTTGAGGTAAGCTACCAGTTGTTTCTTCCCGTCTCTCCTTCCTTCAATATGTGTTTTTGTAAACAATTCACTCCAAGCAAGGCGATAATGCCACTAATATTGTAGCTGAGAATTAGGAAGGCTGCAGCTCAAGAGAGTATTGAAGGAACAGAAAACAAGGTCGGGAAAACAAAAAGAGGTTTATTAAATACTCATATATATAGAACGGAAAAATTTGAGTAAATCAACTACTCCACAAATCCTACTCTAATATGGCTACTTGCCATACTTATAATTATGAGTAGTCCAATGTCACAGAAGTAGAGTAAAGCAGGAAATAGGTTGAGTCCTATTCCACAACACATAAGATGTAAGGGGATACTGCAAGTGAAAGAGAATGAAAAAGACTTTAGAAGGAACCAGAAACCCAACCCTAAACAGGAAACAAGGGATAAACCTCTACTCCTCTATTCACCCCAAGCAAGGTGATAATGCCACTAAGATGCAAGGGACTACTGGGAGTGAAAGAGAATAAGAAGACTTTAGAATGAACCAGAAACCCAATCCTAAACAGGAAACAAGGATAAACCTCTACTCCTCTATTCGCCCCAAGCAAGGTGATAATGCCACTAAGATGCAAGGGACTACTGGGAGTGAAAGAGAATCAGAATACTTTAGAAGGAACCAGAAACCCAATCCTAAACAGGAAACAAGGATAAACCTCTACTCCTATTCACCCCAAGCAAGGTGATAATGCCACTAAGATGCAAGGGACTACTGGGAGTGAAAGAGAATAAGAAGATTTTAGAATGAACCAGAAACCCAATCCTAAACAGTAAACAAGGGATAAACCTCTACTCCTCTATTCACCCCAAGCAAGGTGATAATGCCACTAAGATGCAAGGGACTACTGGGAGTGAAAGAGAATAAGAAGACTTTAGAATGAACCAGAAACCCAATCCTAAACAGGAAACAAGGGATAAACCTCTACTCCTCTATTCACCCCAAGCAAGGTGATAATGCCACTAAGATGCAAGGGACTACTGGGAGTGAAAGAGAATCAGAATACTTTAGAAGGAACCAGAAACCCAATCCTAAACAGGAAACAAGGGATAAACCTCTACTCCTCTATTCACCCCAAGCAAGGTGATAATGCCACTAAGATGCAAGGGACTACTGGGAGTGAAAGAGAATCAGAAGACTTTAGAATGAACCAGAAACCCAATCCTAAACAGGAAACAAGGGATAAACCTCTACTCCTCTATTCACCCCAAGCAAGGTGATAATGCCACTAAGATGCAAGGGACTACTGGGAGTGAAAGAGAATCAGAATACTTTAGAAGGAACCAGAAACCCAATCCTAAACAGGAAACAAGGGATAAACCTCTACTCCTCTATTCACCCCAAGCAAGGTGATAATGCCACTAAGATGCAAGGGACTACTGGGAGGAAAGAGAATCAGAATACTTTAGAAGGAACCAGAAACCTAATCCTAAACAGGAAACAAGGATAAACCTCTACTCCTCTATTCACCCCAAGCAAGGTGATAATGCCACTAAGATGCAAGGGACTACTGGGAGGAAAGAGAATCAGAATACTTTAGAAGGAACCAGAAACCCAATCCTAAACAGGAAACAAGGATAAACCTCTACTCCTCTATTCACCCCAAGCAAGGTGATAATGCCACTAAGATGCAAGGGACTACTGGGAGTGAAAGAGAATCAGAATACTTTAGAAGGAACCAGAAACCCAATCCTAAACAGGAAACAAGGATAAACCTCTACTCCTCTATTCACCCCAAGCAAGGTGATAATGCCACTAAGATGCAAGGGACTACTGGGAGTGAAAGAGAATAAGAAGACTTTAGAATGAACCCGAAACCCAATCCTAAACAGGAAACAAGGATAAACCTCTACTCCTCTATTCACCCCAAGCAAGGTGATAATGCCACTAAGATGCAAGGGACTACTGGGAGTGAAAGAGAATCAGAATACTTTAGAAGGAACCAGAAACCCAATCCTAAACAGGAAACAAGGGATAAACCTCTACTCCTCTATTCACCCCAAGCAAGGTGATAATGCCACTTTAGAGATGCAAACAGGACTACTGGGAGCAAGGGACTACTGAAAGAGAATCAGAAGACTTTAGAATGAACCAGAAACCCAATCCTAAACAGGAAACAAGGGATAAACCTCTACTCCTCTATTCACCCCAAGCAAGGTGATAATGCCACTAAGATGCAAGGGACTACTGGGAGTGAAAGAGAATCAGAATACTTTAGAAGGAACCAGAAACCCAATCCTAAACAGGAAACAAGGGATAAACCTCTACTCCTCTATTCACCCCAAGCAAGGTGATAATGCCACTAAGATGCAAGGGACTACTGGGAGGAAAGAGAATCAGAATACTTTAGAATGAACCAGAAACCCAATCCTAAACAGGAAACAAGGATAAACCTCTACTCCTCTATTCACCCCAAGCAAGGTGATAATGCCACTAAGATGCAAGGGACTACTGGGAGGAAAGAGAATCAGAATCTTTAGAATGAACCAGAAACCCAATCCTAAACAGGAAACAAGGATAAACCTCTACTCCTCTATTCACCCCAAGCAAGGTGATAATGCCACTAAGATGCAAGGGACTACTGGGAGGAAAGAGAATCAGAATACTTTAAAGGAACCAGAAACCCAATCCTAAACAGGAAACAAGGGATAAACCTCTACTCCTCTATTCACCCCAAGCAAGGTGATAATGCCACTAAGATGCAAGGGACTACTGGGAGTGAAAGAGAATCAGAATACTTTAGAAGGAACCAGAAACCCAATCCTAAACAGGAAACAAGGGATAAACCTCTACTCCTCTATTCACCCCAAGCAAGGTGATAATGCCACTAAGATGCAAGGGACTACTGGGAGTGAAAGAGAATCAGAATACTTTAGAATGAACCAGAAACCCAATCCTAAACAGGAAACAAGGGATAAACCTCTACTCCTCTATTCACCCCAAGCAAGGTGATAATGCCACTAAGATGCAAGGGACTACTGGGAGTGAAAGAGAATCAGAAGACTTTAGAATGAACCAGAAACCCAATCCTAAACAGGAAACAAGGGATAAACCTCTACTCCTCTATTCACCCCAAGCAAGGTGATAATGCCACTAAGATGCAAGGGACTACTGGGAGGAAAGAGAATCAGAATACTTTAGAAGGAACCAGAAACCCAATCCTAAACAGGAAACAAGGATAAACCTCTACTCCCTCTATTCACCCCAAGCAAGGTGATAATGCCACTAAGATGCAAGGGACTACTGGGAGGAAAGAGAATCAGAATACTTTAGAAGGAACCAGAAACCCAATCCTAAACAGGAAACAAGGGATAAACCTCTACTCCTCTATTCACCCCAAGCAAGGTGATAATGCCACTAAGATGCAAGGGACTACTGGGAGTGAAAGAGAATAAGAAGACTTTAGAATGAACCCGAAACCCAATCCTAAACAGGAAACAAGGGATAAACCTCTACTCCTCTATTCACCCCAAGCAAGGTGATAATGCCACTAAGATGCAAGGGACTACTGGGAGGAAAGAGAATCAGAATACTTTAGAAGGAACCAGAAACCCAATCCTAAACAGGAAACAAGGATAAACCTCTACTCCTCTATTCACCCCAAGCAAGGTGATAATGCCACTAAGATGCAAGGGACTACTGGGAGTGAAAGAGAATCAGAAGACTTTAGAATGAACCAGAAACCCAATCCTAAACAGGAAACAAGGGATAAACCTCTACTCCTCTATTCACCCCAAGCAAGGTGATAATGCCACTAAGATGCAAGGGACTACTGGGAGTGAAAGAGAATCAGAATACTTTAGAAGGAACCAGAAACCCAATCCTAAACAGGAAACAAGGGATAAACCTCTACTCCTCTATTCACCCCAAACAAGGTGATAATGCCACTAAGATGCAAGGGACTACTGGGAGTGAAAGAGAATCAGAATACTTTTAGAAGGAACCAGAAACCCAATCCTAAACAGGAAACAAGGGATAAACCTCTACTCCTCTATTCACCCCAAGCAAGGTGATAATGCCACTAAGATGCAAGGGACTACTGGGAGGAAAGAGAATCAGAAGACTTTAGAATGAACCAGAAACCCAATCCTAAACAGGAAACAAGGGATAAACCTCTACTCCTCTATTCACCCCAAGCAAGGTGATAATGCCACTAAGATGCAAGGGACTACTGGGAGTGAAAGAGAATCAGAATACTTTTAGAAGGAACCAGAAACCCAATCCTAAACAGGAAACAAGGGATAAACCTCTACTCCTCTATTCACCCCAAGCAAGGTGATAATGCCACTAAGATGCAAGGGACTACTGGGAGGAAAGAGAATCAGAAGACTTTAGAATGAACCAGAAACCCAATCCTAAACAGGAAACAAGGATAAACCTCTACTCCCTCTATTCACCCCAAGCAAGGTGATAATGCCACTAAGATGCAAGGGACTACTGGGAGTGAAAGAGAATCAGAATACTTTAGAAGGAACCAGAAACCCAATCCTAAACAGGAAACAAGGGATAAACCTCTACTCCTCTATTCACCCCAAGCAAGGTGATAATGCCACTAAGATGCAAGGGACTACTGGGAGTGAAAGAGAATCAGAATACTTTAGAATGAACCAGAAACCCAATCCTAAACAGGAAACAAGGGATAAACCTCTACTCCTCTATTCACCCCAAGCAAGGTGATAATGCCACTAAGATGCAAGGGACTACTGGGAGTGAAAGAGAATCAGAAGACTTTAGAATGAACCAGAAACCCAATCCTAAACAGGAAACAAGGGATAAACCTCTACTCCTCTATTCACCCCAAGCAAGGTGATAATGCCACTAAGATGCAAGGGACTACTGGGAGTGAAAGAGAATCAGAATACT